ACAGGACCTGGAAGATTGTAGGTGTTAGGGTTAACCGTCTTAACCTTCACGCATATACGCTTTCTCTGTCTTCTGGCCTGATTGCTGCTAAGACCTCACTTGGACTGCGGCTGGCTCTCCTGCCGGTTGTGGGCTCGCCAAGTCAGACTTCCTCCATCTATTCTCCTTTCCTTTGTGTACACAATACAGTCTTCCATCTACTCTGGACTTTATCGACTTCTCTCCAGCACTAAGTAACCATGGTCTGTAGATCGCAGTTTCTGGGTTTAACTCACTTAACCCCCTGCGATACTCTTTCCAGACGGGTTAAAAGGCATTATTTAGAATTTGCTCGTACTTATAATTCGATGTTTGAATTCAGTTTGCTAATTATGGTTAGCTAAATAATCAAGTAAGCACACAATTATGTACAGGGCTGCGACTGACTGAAATTAACTTTAGGTTTAAGTAAGCCGTGCAATCAGTGGACTCGGAATGCTGTCTACCAAAAAGTTCACTCACTGAACTGGAATGTAGGGTCGTTTTTGCAACGGAAGATTCTTCCAAACAATGTGGTTATACTATTTTGGGGTTCCATTAAATTAAGCAAAAGGGTTATTCTTATATATTACGAGCTACCTTACGACAGGTCAAATCAAGTTCCGTTTAACCTGGTAAGAATCTATCCTACAGCCGCATGCCGGTATACATTAATAATTAAAATTGGTGAAAAGTCGGCCTGCTTTTTATTACTTATGCCTGCATAAACGTGGCCCTACGGCAAATCAAAACCAAAAGTCACCCTGGTTGCCAAATTATCGCGCACCCATTGGGGTCTTGGATTGTCCTACCATTTCATTCTCCCTACTACCACGGACTGGCTTATGTCATTGGGCGGCCCTAGGACACCGTTAACGTGAATGCGAATTGGATGCGTATACAGCTGCAGCCTTCAAGTTGGCTTTTAGTGGTTTTGATGGAGATGTAGTAGCCTGCACTCAGTACTGCCGGACTGACTCAGCCTGCCTTCGCTGCCCTCGAGCATGATCAGACAACGCTACTTGAGCTGTACATAGGCTTGAAGCCAGTCAAGGCGCACCGTGCCGGACACATTTCGCACTCAAGGCCTCGCAGTAGCGGACATACACACTTTCATCGACTCAAATAGCATTAAAACGCAGCGGCTGCGATCGATTGGCAGCGCCTGCTGTGAAACTCCTTTCGCACAGTAAAAACTCGTCTTACCAATTCTGTGTCCCTTGGCTTTTGAGTTGGGGAACCTTTTGTTGTCTACGCAACTGTCACCGACAGACCTGCACATGGGTATCGCCCTATAGCAGCCTAACGGGTTGCAGGTCAAAGTAGTCACCGCCCTGGTCATATGGCTGTGGTCTGCAAATCCCGATAAAATAAAGGAAAAGCAAATACATAAGCGGCAACTAATTTATTTGTAAACAGAGGAAGAAAGTGCCTTATGTACGTTTACGAGCCTCAGCGACAGTGGCGGCAGCATCTCTAAAAAATGCCACAGCCTGGAGGCACCGCACTGTCCGACTTCGCACTCACCTACTTCGACTCACCCTCCTTCGACTCACAGTCCGTCGACTTATTCTCCTTCGACTCACCGTTCTTCGACTTATTCGCCTTTGAATCACCCTCCTGCGACTTATTTTCATTCGACCTCGTATCCTTGGACTCACCCCTCGTCGACTTCGTATTCTTGGACTCGCCCCTCCTCTTCGTCTTCTGCATCGCAAACCGCGCTGCCAGATATAGCTGCGGGGGCAGCAGCCACTCAACCACCCACCACAGGCCGGAAGCACTGCACCGTCCTTCGCTTCCTTTGCACTCACCGCCTTCGACTCATCCGCCTGCTCCTCCTCTTTTTCTTGCATTTTCTCCTTTGCCAGGGTTACCTGCAGCAGGATTCCGAGGAACAGCAGTGTCAGAAGAGGTTTCATTGTAAGTACTTGAGGTCACTTAGATGATGGGTTGACAACGCACCATGTTGGATGGCACCTGCTTATATCCAACTTGCGTGTTTATTGAGTGATCCTGAAGTTGAGAGTGCGATTTGATACATTCACTTAGCCAAACACGGAAGTAAACATTCAGCTGTCTCCGGAGTTGCTGCTGACTGCCACATTCACCGTACTGACCACTGCCCGAACCGGAGACAGTTCCCCTCGTCCTCCTTAGTATGCAACGCCTCTTATTTTGCGGTCAATTTATTCCCCGTCTGTACCTCTTTCGAGAGAGTAATCTGCGCGAAATCTCCGAGGCGCCACGTAGAAAAAGCTGTATTTTTATGCTTTGAGGTGTCGAGAAAATGCAGCAACCTAAGCTGCTTCTTGGGGTGTGGTTCAGAGGCATTCTTTGGTATTTGCTCGTGCTTATGTTTCGAGGTGCCAAGTTGATTTGTTACTTGTGATTAGCAAATCAATTAAGTAAACATTCATAAAAATTTGCGCAGCTACGTGGACGGCGGCTCATGACTGGACTTGACGTAAAGCTTAGTTTATGCATGCAATCAGTGGACGCGGACTGCCGCATCAAATGAATGAAAATGAATAAAATAACCACGGATGTTCTGCAGAAATTCCCATTTTACGATTGAAAAGTCGCATTGGCAATCAATTGTTTTCGGCCATTCAACATCAAGCTGGTATATGACATGGGGAATTAACTGACCATGTTAATTCCCCATGTCATCTACAGGCCTGATGATGAATGACCGAAAAAAATTGTTTGCCAATACGGCTGTTCAATCACGGGTGTGTTTGAGAAATAACAGGCTTGCGTCAAGTTTATCACATTTTCGTGCATTTTTTGATGCCTATTCTGTTAAACAGCTGCCATATTTTCTCAAAGTCAGTTTCCTAATAGGTGCGTGATCTTCCTATGAAGGCTCTCCTACCTTATTGAGTCACCCTTTCGATGACGTGTACTCTACAATGTAATCGCACTTTAACGTCGCGTATGCTCTTACTGAGCACTACTGTTGTTTGACTGAAAATGTCCCCAACAGCCCTTCATATTTTATAATCTGGCGACCAGAAAAGACTGATTTTCAACTTTATGAAAAAAAACCACGTCATACGTCTAGGCTGCAATTTCATCACATCGTGATCAGATCGTTAGACCTCGTTAGCCACATTATAACTGCAAACGTTATAGCATATTCTAGCCCAATATTCCCTTCTCGAGAAGAAGAGAGGTATTTTTGACTTAATTAAAACAACACTTCGAAAGCCAGTAAAAATTATGTCCTCAAATAAACGTGAACATGCTTGCAAACGTACGTACCGCACCCCCACAACGCATTTTAATAATTTCAATATATTATCAACCTAATTCAATCCTCACTCCATGATGAAGGATAGTCTCAGTGATGCAAAAGTAATCATGATAGAGTCTGTTACAGATTGAAGTCTCCGAAATCCGGAAAGTCCAGAAAGCGGGAGAGCATAGGTGGACATGTGCAAGTAGCATTTTTCTCCTGAAAATCTTGCTTACCGTGTTCCTTAAATATCACAGGTGCTCCTGGCTTAATAGTAAGGACGTTGGACTCTGATCAAAAAGTTTGCGAGTTGTAGGCTCGAGTGGGGCACCACTTGGGTCTAGGTTTGACTGGCTGAATAAGGTAAATAAGCCACAAATGGCCATTTCAGTCTCCTCTGCATTTGCCGTATAGTCATTGCCTCGGCTATTGCTAGCATCCTTTGACGTTGGCCCTTGGAGAAGTTGGCTGGTGTCCGGTAGACAACCTGAAAGGCTTCACTATTATCAAATCGATCATTCGTATCTACAAGGTGTGCGGGAATAGAACCCGAGATAGGTCTAGTTTCACCTTTACCTAACAAGGCCGATATGTGTTTACGTATCCTCTTTCCTAGGCACCTCTTTTTTGGCCAATGCATCCTGCTCAACAGGTTCAAGTGAAGAGTAGAGGCACATGCAGGTCTCTTCAATGGGAGTCGGTCTTTACCTCCCAATCTGAGAGAAGAAAGTTCGTGAAGAATGCGCTTAAGTTGGCCGCGGGAAAGGCGTTTGTGACCGCAGTCTTCAGACTTCGCGTCATTAGCCCGCTTGAAGCATAGCCTAAGAAAGGCAGGCTTATGAACACGTATTTCTTTTCTGTGGTTAAGGTTTATTTGTGCGTTTGCTAATATTCCTAAGGATTAGCCTTCCTGGCCATCCATTTTCAAAAAGAGTGTTTTGCAGCACTTGGAGTTCTGTTTCAACAGTCTCAGAAGAGCAGATCCATCGTACTCTGGCTTCTAATCCCTGGATTACATTTATTTTCATAGTCAAAGAAAAAAAACTATTAAAGTCGATGTAGTGCCCCGTCCAGGTTTTCTTTCGGAATACCCTATGCTGAATAGATCCACCATTTACTTTTGTTGAAGAACATCAAAGAACGGAATTGCATCATCTACCTCGGTCTTGGGCGATAAATGCGCGCTGTTTATCTGCGCTGTCATAT